CAGAGACGGATGACAGATAATAACTGACATCAGATATCTGATAGTCCTGCTAAGATATGGTGATGTAGTGATAAATGCAGAAATATGACTTATCTGCCACTATAGTAGAAGAAAAATCTTCATCTCTTCGTAAAATGCACTATCTCAATTATCTTCAATCTGAAAATACATTTGATGAGGCTTTCTTACCCCTTCTTGCTGAATAAAGTAAGATCTTTATTTAAAAAGTAATTTAAATATTCAAAAGGATATGGATGAATGGCAGTATCTTTGAAATATTCAGAAACAAAGCATATTTTAATTAAATAGGTAAGGCCTATACCATTTTAAAAGTACAAATACTATCCTCATTTGTTAATATAATTTAAACCTGTGAGAGTTTTTCTTTTTTTATTAATTATTTTAATTATTTTTCTGTGCAGTTCACATCTCCAGAAATTAGATTTGGGGGACTAAAAATGTTTTTTAGATGTTCATTATTGAAAGCTGAGGTGATATTCTTATAAGGATTATTAATATTTTTTTAAATTTTGTAGTGCCTTTGTACTATTTTGAAATTCCTCAAGTGCCAACTTGTCACTCCAACCCTTCTCACAGCTCCCCTCTCCCCAGTCAATTCAGCAACTAAAGGTTAATGCCAGGTATATCCGAGCACTGTGACCATACTACTTGCTATGGCCAGCTTATGATTTGTGGTTGTAAAATGTCTTGAATGCCATGCCTGCCTAAAAGACTTCCTGAGATGAATCACTTCATGTGACACGAATGTTTTCCTCGGAACTCATGCAACCTCCATTATTACATGTCATTCCTTGTTAGATAGAGAGAGAGAATCGGTGATCAGTTTGACTCTTTTGTCCATTTATAGGATGGACTAGAGAAAACTCATGGGAGATACACACTTTCACTACACAAGTGATCACTGAAAATCAAAGAAGGGTTATTCCGCAAAGCAACCATACACTAAATATAAATATTGCCTGATGTCTAGGAGATTTTCAGGAGAGGCAGGCATTGCTATTTCTCACCCTTCCCCATCTCCACCCCTATTTTACAGAAAGAACAACAACAAAAAATGGTTTTTGCAGAACTTCCCAATTGGTGTATCCAAACACTAGTCAAATGTGTTTAAGATATTGATCCCTCAACTTTAAGTGTGACTCCCAAAGCCTTGGACAATGTCTACAAGCAGTTTCTGCTATTTACCTCAGTATACTTTACAAATATTGTCACTGATGTGAAAATTTGAGAAGGACTGGTAAAAAAGTACAGTCCATCCAGCTATGTTCTAGCTGTCTATGGGTTACCCAGTGATGGTGGAATCCAAGCCGAGGATGTATCAAAGATGGGAAGACCATAGTGCCAGTCTTATAAAGAAGCCAAGTAAACATTTAGTTCTCCCAAACTAACTTCTCTTTGGTTTCTACATTACCTCTAGAAATAATCTAATAGTTACATATATTGCCTTTGAGAAATCCAAACATTTTTCCTGTTTTCTCAAAATTTGCAAGTAGCTATTTTTTTTAAAATTTTGTAGTGCTCTACTGGCCTCCAGATATTCATTTCACTCCTACTATCATGTTCATGGAAGGACCCCTAGTGGCACAGTGGTTAAGCGCTCAGCTGCTAACCTAAAGTTCTGCAGTTTGAACCTACCAGCTGCTCCACTCAGGAGGAAGATGTGGAAATCTGCGTTTGTAAAGATTACAGCCTCGGAAACCCTATGGGGCCCCTCTGCTCTGTCCTAGAGTGTCACTATGTGTTGTAATCAGTCGACGGCAACGGGTATGGTGTTTGGCATCATGTTCATCAGCTACCTGACAACATTAAAGATGATAAATCATACTTTCATTTGAGCTGACTCACGTATCATTTAAAAAATCTTTTTTTCTCACAAGAACTACTGAGTCATTTTGATCCATAATCAATGTCCATGGAAGCAGCAGTAAAGAAATCAAAGGACATATTGCGTTGGGCAAATCTGCTGCAAAAGACGTCTTAAAGTGTTAAAAAACAAACACGTCACTTTGAGGACTAAGGTGTGCCTGACCCAAGCATGGTATTTTCAATTGTGTCATATGCATGTGAAACCTGGACAATCAATAAGGAAGACTGAAGAAGAATTGACACCTTTGAATTATGGTGTTGGCGAAGAATATTGTATATACCATGGACTGCCAGAAGAACGAAAAAATCTGTCTTGGAAGTGTGACCAGAATGATCTGCAGAAGCAAGCATGGTGAGACTTCATCTCACATACTTTGGACATGTTATCAGGAGGAGGCAGTCCCCAGAAAAGGACATCATGCGTGGTAGAGAGTCTGGAAAAAGAGGAAAACCCTCTATGAAATGGACTGACATAGTGGTTGCAACAATGGGCTCAAACACAGCAATGATTGTGAGGATGACACAGGACTGAGCAGTGTTTCATCCTGTTGTACATAGGGTTGTTATGAGTCAGAACCAACTCACCCGTACCTACCTGTAAAATTTTCCAGAATTATAAGGTATTATTTCTATAGGTTATTTTTATAGACAGGTCTAACTACAACTGGCTTAAACACTACTTTGACATTTATACACGGATACATGTATTTAAAATTTTAAGAATCAGCCAAAAATCAAACCAAACCTGTTGCCATCGAGTTGATTCCAACTCATGGTGGCTTTATAGGAGGACAGAGTAGAACTGCCCTGTAGAATTTCCAAGGAGCGGCTGGCGGATTTGAACTGCAGATCTTTTGGCTAGCAGCCGAGCTCTTACCCACTGTGTCACCAGGGCTCCAAGAATCAGCTAATTAGTTTTTAAAATAACTACTTGGTAATTGTTGGTCTTAGAAGTTTATAGTTTTTCAAAATTAATTTGTCTTTTAATTTTATTTTTAAAATTAATTTATGTTAATCTTATAAATGGAAGATTAAATAGCTAAGGAATCTCAGTGAAAAGTATTTCACTTGTTTTTCTCTCTGTAATTTGGATGTAAATGTATGTATTTGTACTTTAATTATATAAATATGTATATATATGTGTATATATATATATATGGAACTAAATGTATATTTTTAGAAATATTTTATACTCAAGTTACAGAGATATGTTACAGTAAAATGAGTTGTGCATTTGGGGTGACAGGTGTTTGACAAAATGAATAGCCTTGTATAGCAGTAATTGTATAAATATATGTGAAAAACTACAGAGAAACCTGTTAGTGGCAACGCTTCAGCTGGTGAAGCTGCGTCATAAAAACATGTTTACATCCCCCAAACATAAACGGTTGAGAGAAAGTTCCTTTGGCATAAAACAAAAATCACATATACCTATAATTTATATTTTGAAAATCATACCTTACTTTTGGTGACCCCAGTTTTTTTTTTTGGTTTGTTTGTGTAGTAATTTAGATTTTCTTTTTTTCTTTGTTGTCAAATTATATCACATCATTATTTTCACAGTTCTCATAATTTTGCATATCCTAGAATATATCAGATTGACTTTTTCATTATTATTATTGTTTTGCCTCAACTAAATGAAAGCAAAGCTTATGATATTTTTGAGCCTTTTTTCCCCCCCTCCTTTTGGGGCTTGAGGCAGAAAATAAAGTAATGAGGTATAAGTGTTCTCCAAAGAACAACTTGGCTTCTTGGAACAGAATCTTTTCTTAGCTGTGATAACAGCAAACACTTATTTAATATTTGCCAGGCAGTGTTCTAAGAGCTTTTAATATAGTCCTCACACCCACCCTGTAAATTTAGGGAAACTGAAGCACAGAGACATTTCATAATTTGCCCAAATCACTCAGTTTATAAGTGATGGAGCCAGAATTTGGACCCAATAATCTGGCTCCACAGGAGAGAAGGACATCATGCTTGGTAAAGTAGAGGATCAGCGAAAAAGAGGAAAACCCTCAAAGAGATGGATTAACATAGTAGCTACAACAATGAGCTCAAACATAGCAACAATTGTGAGGATAGTGTGGGACCAGGCAGTGTTTTCTACATAAGGTCACTATGAGTCGGAACTGACTCCATGGCACCTAACAACGATCTGGCTCCAGAGTCTAATATAAATAAATGCTATGCTGTGTTTACTTACATGATTAATATATGTTGAATTCCTGCTCTTAGCTTGCTTCTCGCAGTGCTCAGTGTTTAGCATTCAGTACTTGTTCACATTCACAACAACCCTACATGATAGGCTCAGTGATATTCCAGTTTTATAGATTAAAAACAAAAACAAAACCTAATGCACAGTTTATTAAATAAATTAATTCCCCAGACTGATTGACAGAGCTGTGATTAAAACCTTAGTGTGTTTGCAACTAGATTCCCGGCCTTTGCAATAATCAATGTCAGATTAATATATGATTGTAGTCAAATTGTTATTACTGTGCTTTGGATTTAGGAGAGCTGTGTAAAAGTAAAAATCATATGGGGAATGTGGAAATGGTCTGTAGAAGTGCAGATAAGATTTGGGAATTAGCAATCTGAGATTTAAATAGTACAGAAAATTTCTAATTGGATGTCTGATAAAGATTTAGAATTGTCGCATTTGGAGGAAAGACTTTATATTTTGACTTAAGTTTATCTTGAAAAACATGATTGTACAAAGTGCACTTACCACCAGCAGGCAAACTCAACTCATTGCCTCCCGACTCTTTAGCAAATTCTACTGCATTATAGATGCTCAGTAATTTTGTTTTTTAAATAAAAAATATAACTAGCTGTTCTTTGTATTCTCAAATAACAGTTTAAAAGTAAATAACTTTTAGTTTGACACAAGTTCATTTAAATTCCACAAAAACCTTTTTTTAATAATATTTTTATATATAGTTTATATAATTTTTACAAGAGGTCTGCCAAGAATTTGCCAGCTATCCTGTGGTAATATTTTCTTTAGTTTTGTTTTGTAAACTAATGCTAGTAATTACTCATTCTTATCAGTTTTAGCATTAAAAAAGCAAAGCTAACATGCACCATTCTGTTCCATTTTATATTTATTTTAGGTCCAGAAGAAATAGAATTCAAGTGCCCCTTGAATCACATTCCTTGCCTTGGTACGAACAAATGTGTGCATTTATCTCAACTGTGCAACGGCATTGTAGACTGCTCGGATGGGTATGATGAAGGAGTACATTGCCGGGGTGAGTCCATTTGCTGAACAAAGCAACTGAAATATTAAATTTTGCATAGTTTTTTAATGAAAGATCAAAGAGAAACTATAACCTGCCTTTCCTTTCAACCATAATCTATCAATTATTGAGAAAGCATGAATTTTATCGCCAGAGACATTCAGTATGAATTTTAAGCTGCAACTATTGTGTTTTATTGGAAAACACAGAAGAAGAAACACATTTAGGCTTTGAAGTTGGGCTCTTAAACAATTATATATTTCATACAAACAACTACTTTTGGAGCAAAGGACAATGAGAAGTCTTTGTTACAGTAGATTGATATCATACAGTTTTACAAAGTTGTTTCTTCTGAACCTTTGCTTAAACAAGAAGGTTTTGAAGTAAAACCTCTGCAATTAAACATTTTAGTAGGATGTATTCACAGGAAATTTATTTTTTAATATAATTTCTATTAAGTTGTACTATTAGCTTTCTTCTAATTTTCTTTCTTTTTAAAAATCAACATCTAAATTTTACAGTGGTTTCGATGTTTATATGTATCTTAATGATATGAGGGAGAGAAATTTTAAATCTAAAAATTAATAAAGAGTTAACTGTAACTGGTGCATTTTAATAAAATTATGTTTGGGGGGAATTTGAGACTGAGAAATATAAGATCATAGGAAGAAGTCCAGGACCAAAATAAGCACCTGGGTCTGGGTACAGAATAAAGGTATCAGTCAAGTGAATCAGGCTGCAAGATGGCGCCAGGAAAGAAATATTTGCACCTGAGGTCCCTATCTCCGATTCTCACAGACTTAGTGTAACACAAAGAAAATTGTAGCCGAGATGTCAAGTAGTAACAGGGGGTGACAGTAAGACAATACAGAATAGAGGGGACGGTAGAAAATTGAAGATGCATATCTGGTTTCTGGAGAGACTCACTCAAGTTGTTGCCGTATGGAAAAAGACTCCAGGATTACTGGAAGCTCCAATTTTTCAGGTGGAGCTCCAAATCTGGATTTGAATATTCAGACTCGTTTAATGTCAGTTACTACATTAAAATATATATATGTGTGTGTATATATATATGTATTTATATTTATATTATGTTCAACAATGTATAGGCCAAACAAACCTATCTGAGGCCTGACCAGGCTTGCTGGCTACCAGTTTCTCACCTCTTGGCTGAAGTAAACTTGACTCAATACCAAAGATGGAGAGATATGTTAGAAAAAGTATAAATCCCACAAAGATAACCTGAGGAAGTGAGGATGTTGAGAGACCTTATATAAAATCACCTGGGTCACTAGGTCTTTTCCCTCTTTAAAAGGGATGTCTAATTATCTGACGCTGGGCAAATTCAGAGATGGAAGTTAAGTCTTCAGCAGGTTCTTTCTTTGTCTAAGTTTCCATTCTTAGCCATGAACACTGACAGATTCACATAAACGAGCCAGCAGAGTCTTAGTTTCGGTTATAAATACGTGTGATAATAGTGACTTAAGGTATTTTATTTTTATTTAGGAGGCTTTGTGATGTATCTTATTTTTTATAATAACAGTATATTTATGGTGTATTTAATTTTTAATATTTGCTATATTTTTGTTATGATATATTAAAACAGAATGATATTAATGGAAGTACTGAATGTAAAGTGATGGGAATTAAATTAATTTTCTTTTCAGAAATTATATTTTCTAAGAGTAGTTCAATCTACTTCAATTATTATTTAGGATTCTTGTTCTATTAAAAAATAACTTTTCAGATAGATATGTGTGAATAAGCTTCTAAAAGTGTAAGAGTTGCATTACCAAATACTTCCTCATTGGTGATTACACAAATTTAATATCTTACACACATTTCAGTTCTATGGATCATACAAAAATATATCCTAGAGTTTTCTAATAAAGTTTAGAGTTTGTGATCTAATAAATGCAGGGATATGTTATAGTTAAAGCAGAGGATTCAAATTAAAACATTTTGAACAAAAACAAAATGGTGTTAAAATTTATCTTAATGATTGAAAATAGCAGCATATGCTTTAAATTGGGATAGATTTAAAGTATGTGATTGTTTATGCTCTTTTCTCCTGTTCTAATTCAGCTTTCTGTTTCGAGTTTCATTCCTTTATCATGAGTGACAACTTTTTTTTTCTTTCTTAATTTACCCGTAGCAGGTTAATTGTACCATCTTCTTTCTCAAAAAAATTTCTATTTTTCATCAAAGTATCTTAAAAGATCTAAGTACCTATTCATTATGACCTGGGATAGACATAGAAGTAACAAGAAGTATATTCAGATTTCAACTTACTATGTATTTACACCATGCAGGGTTTTACACCTAATTCTGTGACCTTGTACACTACATACAATAATAGTATCAAGGTGACTGAAAGAACAGTCATTCCAGAGTCAGTGGTTAAACAAAATATATCTGCACTGAAAAAGAAAACTCAGAAACGTCGTTATGCATGCTTGGTCTTATACAATGCCCCTGAAAACAGCCAAAACACAAATGTTTTGGTTGTTATCAGATTTATTTACCACATATCTAGGGCTTGTTTTTAATGAGAAGAGATGATTGACTGTAGGCAATGCTGTATCACTGGAACTCAGTCTACTTTTCAATCTTTAAAATTGTTCCTAATTGCGTGTGGTCACACTCAATGAAAAAGTGTTTTCTGATGACTTAATTAGACACAATCCCTCTCAAGTCTCTAATGAACTTTCTCATCCACTATAGACATACAACAAAGAAAGAGAACAAATTAATTCAAACATCATATTGCTGTTTGGAAATGCTTTCCTTCTGTAGAACAATTTAGTCTAAATCACCTCCATTTCAATCACTTCCATTCTATTGTATTCTAAGAACACGCTCTAATTTAAATAATTATATGTTTAGCCTAAAACATGATTCAAAGATGGATTTTTTTTTTTTCCTAATAAAGGATCCAAAGTACATTTGGTGGTATATTTGTACCTTTATGAAAATTAATAAGAGGAAAAGTTTAACATTTTAGAGGTGATATTCTGGTCTTAGGGACTGTGTTTATATCAACTGAATTGTTTTCTGAATGCTTCCTAGAAAAATCAATTTCTTTTTGGTGAAGGTAATGGAAAGATATCTATTATTAATGATTTTCTATAACAGTGATATTTTAATCTCCATAATTTAGCTCCATTTGAAGAAAGAAAAATGGATTTTTGCATATAGGTGTACTTGTATATAGGAATGTGCTTATATAAATTTTATAATAAGAACTATCAAAATTACGACATTATATTTTAGAAAATTTCATCTCTTCCTACACAGTATTTCATATTGGTGGTAACGACACCATATCTAATTGCATGAGCAATGGAAATATGTTCTATAAAGTACAAGGTCTCTCAATCCAGCATATTCCTACAGAACTCCTCACAGCCTTACCAAAAATGCTAGAAGAAGTGAACCAATTTAGCTAGTAAAGACCATATTGACTCAGATCTATCAAAAGACTCTTTTAACATGTAACATTCTTAAGATAATTGATTGTGTTAAAATTTAAAGTGAAAATAAACACGGGAAGCCCTTTTTAAAATTCAACCCAAGTTTAATTTTTGCAGTGCATTTGCAGTGAAAAATGCTAATACATTAAAATGTGCAAGGAAATGGCAGTCACTGTAGCACTTTCTGTTCTTACTCTGTTGTAAGTATATAAGGACTCTTTGAGTCACTGCAAAAAGGGACTATATCTTCTGTGTCACTAGAAAAACTGATTATATAATCTATGTGATAGTTTTCCAGTAAACCTTCCAATGTCCTTTTAAATCTAAGGAGATACAGTGTGTAAAGTACTTACTAAAACTGATTAGGGAATAAAACTCTGACATCAGAAAAGCCCGTGATCATAACTCACAAATGCACACACACATTCTCATCTTTTCTGATTTCTCTCTCTTCTATTCTAAACCTGTTCTTACATGATTCTGACTACATAATATATTTAATAGGTGTATTTGATCAGGGACTCAAAATAAAAAAAAAAAAATAGATTGTCATGTGTAATACCTAACTCCTTGAAATAATGAATATTTATAATTTTAAATTCCAGTTTATTATTTTACTTTTCTTGACAGTTGGAATACAGCCTTCCTAATATGTACAATTACATTTTTTCTATCACCCACAATTTCTATTGTCAGTAGTTCTAGTATATTTATTTTAGATACCAGTTTATGATATTTAGAATTTTATATAGTAGTTTTATTCTTTTATATTTCTATTTATAAAACTAAAATCATGTAAGAAAGTACTAAAAATGCCTGGGGGGCAGTTTAGAAATTAAAGGCTTTCTCAAAATGCACAAAAGTAAACGGAAGCTTTTATAATTGGTAATGACTCACCATACGAAAGTTAATAATGCTTAAAACTTCTTGCTTAAATTTCATATGTATAGTAAATTTTCCAAAAAGTAATTGATTTATCTAGAAGCTAATTCTTAGCTCAGATATTCAGAACTTCATTTTTTCAGTCGTCCTGAAAGAAAATGTTTTATCATATCTGGTTGTTTCCTTAGCAGTTATAACATTGATTTCAGAGTGAAGAAGACTTGCTTGTAGTTACAAGAAAGGAAGGGTGGGAGGAAGGCAGGGAGGTGGTAAAGATGATGAGGAAGATGAGTAAATTTAGATTACTTTGTTATTCTTAATTTCCCTTTATTGTATTCATGGAGCTTATCCTATTCTCATTTTAAAAGTATGCATTGAAAACCAGTACTAATGTCCTTCTAAAATACATTCAGTTTATTATGCTAAAAGGGGGAATTTCAGCATATAGAATCCAAAACAAAGGAATGGAGATGTTTATAATTGCAAGCAATGTTACAGAAAGTGTATCTGTCAGCAACATTAAAGTTAAAGCAAGGGAGCACACCAGTGTGTGCTCAAGTGACTTGAAACATCAATAAGCCTAGAGCTAGAAAACAAACAAGTGGAATTAGCCAGAAGGGCTTGGGTTTGTGTGTTCAGACCACTTTTGATTAGTAG